CAATAGAATTTATCTCCTTATCCATTGTTTTTTGCCACTTTGATTCTTTGATCATATCTTCAAATGCTACGAGATCACAATCTACAAACAGAGCCAAATGAGCAATTACATTATCATCAGAGAGTTCATTTCCACTTACATAATCCATTATCCAAGCTGGTCATTTTCGTTGATGCTGTTTTTCTACACTTAATGGGTGTGATGGCTTTTTTGTATTTGAGAAATTGGAAGAATCAACAACAGATCCATTTTAGCTTTTGTTTCTCCAAGAATTAATGGAAGTTGTTGTTGATTTGTACTGTTCCAATTCCATACACTTTCCTCATCAAGCAAGACATCACGACTGATGATTATCTTCTTTGTAGTAGAATTGTACAGCTTGTAAGCCATGGAGGGCTCACTGACTCCCAAAAAAATGCATTTCACTCCTTTGTCATCGAGCTTCTTTCATTTCTCATTTGGAATATGGGCATAGACAATACAACCGAAGATTCTGAAATGGTCAACTGTTGGACGGTGCCCAGCCCATACTTCTTCTGGTGTCATGTTGATGACAACAAATGTGGGATTTCTATTCAACACATGGATGCTCCGATAAACTGCTTTTGCCCAAAAACTCTTGAGAATGTATGTTGTTGTCAACATAGTGCGTACCATATTTAGAATAGTACAGGTTTTCCTCTCGACCACCCCATTTTGCTGCGGTGTGTAGGCTACTGTAAGCTGTTTTTTGATCCCATGCATCTCACAGAAACTCATAAATTCTTGCGAGTTAAATTCACTTCCACGATCAGTACGAAGAATCTTAATAGTCCTACCAGAGGCCTTTTCAACTAGAGCCTTAAAGTTTTTGAACGTCACAAAGGCCTCTGATTTCTCTTGTAAAAAATAAACTCATGTCTTCCTGGTATAGTCATCAACGAATGTAATAAAGTACATCTTCTCTCTATTTGAGATAGGAGTAATTGGCCTACAAATGTTTGAATAAACCAATTCAAGTGACTGCTCAGCTCTCCATGCCTTTCCTTTTGGAAATGAATCACGGTGTTGTTTGCCAACAACACATTCTTCGCAAAGATGGGAAGGACAATGAATTTGAGGAAAACTTGTCACCATATCCTTTTGCTGTAGGATCTTTAAACCGCCAAAGTGCAGGTGCCCGTACTGAAAATGCCACAGCCATGTAGAATCTTGCAATTTATTGTAGAAACACATTTGAACATTGGATTGAATCTATAATGAGAACATTCTATTAGTTGTCATATTGACTGCAACAATTAGTCCACTCTGTGGATGATAAATTTGACAATTACCAGCTTTAAAAATGATTGTATATCCCTTCTCTTGCATCTGGCCCAAGCTAATCAGGTTGCTCTTTAAGTCTGTAACATATAAAACACTAAACAATGTGTGCACAATATTATTTTTCAACTGTAGTTTAATATTCCTTTTTCCATAATAGACATGCTAGTATTGTTTCCAAGCTTCACAGTTTTTTGAAAAGTTTTATCCAAATCAAAGAATAAGACTTGTTACCACACATATTATTGCTGCAGCTAGAAATCCAAATACCATATGGTTGAGTGAGGTTCTTCTTTGTCCAGAGATGCTATCACGAGTACTTCATCCTCCACCTTTGAAAAATTGGACTTCTGTTCCTTTTCGGAATTTAAATTGGTAGTGCATTCAGACTTATAATGTCCATAGCCATGACAACGGTAACACTCAATGTTAAACTTGTCAAACCTGGTTTTGGGACTGAATGAAGACGGAGCATCCCTTCCCCTGCCTCTTCCCCAGCCACGACCTTTGTTTGAATCCCTCCAGGTAAATGATTCTCCATGGGTGGCCATTTTCAAAGTGTGCTCATCAACAACTGGCTCGATCAATCTTTGCTCATGCACAAAGAGTTTGCTTTGCAGCATATTAACAAAAAAGTTCATCAACATCATTTGATTCTTCAATTGAGCACACCACATGCTCGAATTTTGGAGTCAAGGATCGAAGAATCTTCTCGACTATAGCGACATCTTCCAATTTCTTGCCATGAATCCTCATCTTGTTTGCGATAGCTAGCGTCCTTCCAAATAATCAGTGACGGACTCTCCTACTTTCATGTGAAGAATTTCAAACTCTCGATGAAGAGCTTGAAGTTGTGCACGTATCATCTTTGTCGTGCCTTGATATTTTTTTTCATGGAATCCTAAATCTGCTTAGAACTATCCCTGTGAAGGATAGTTTCCAAGATTGCACGATCTATGGCCGGAAACAAATAGTTTTTGGCCTTGAGATCCTTCAACTTTTGTTCGTCTAAGCTCTTTTGTTGTGCTTCTGTTAACATAACTCTGCTTGCATACGCATCAATACCAGTCTCCACAATAGGCCAATACTTCTTGGATCTCAGAAAATTCTCTATTAACGTGCTCCAATGATCATAATGACCATCGAAGCATGGAATAGTTGATTGCACACAGTTGCTATATGATGCCATCGATGCTTGTTATGGCAAGTAAGAAGACTGTTTCTTTTTTCTACCTGATCACACTTGGCTCTGATACCACAATATGAAAACTAGGACTCGCACAAACACAAGAGAAATAGTTTGTTGAGTGATTCGATATAGTATTCCTTGACTGAAGCAGTTTTTAAATACACTTAATAACTTAGTATAAAGTTAGGTAAATAAATAAACTACTAGCTGAGTTATCCCTAAACAATAGGAACAAAAAACCTATCCATACAGAATAGGACAACTAAGACTTATTCAATGTAAACCAGAATAGAACATAATAAAATCCTAACGTTACAGAATCCTCCAGTTGTGGTGGTAATGGGTCAATCATGTTGCCTTGGAAGGTATTTAACTCATCTTCCAATTTATGAGGTTCAGCCATAGCATCTTGTATATTTGAGTTGGACGACTCTTTTTTCTTAACCTCGACAATTGATAAGTTAGCCTCATGAAAGAATTTAATTTTCCCATATGTTGTAAGATTTTGGCAAAAATTGTGATCAATGAGCAGGAAGTTCCAATCCATAATAACCTTTTTCGTTCGAGGCTCTTTCCGAGTTAGTCTTCTGTGTGTACCCTTTTTAGTTCCTTTGTTACGACCTTCAAATGAACCCTCACATGGTCCGCTCTTTGTGCCCTTTTCAGTCTTACTGTTATGAGTTTGCACATGGACTCACATGGTAATGGACCACCAGTTTCAGAAGTCTTGCCTATAGAACAATCATTTGGCAAATCTAATGGGAAGGTATGAACAACATTAGTAACATTATTGTCCTCCAACCTGAAATCTGCACAACAGGGCATTGCCTTGCTTTGCTCAGTAGAGAAGTTGTTCTTGAACAGATCTTCCATCACTACATCTGAATCCCTATCTTTGAGCATCCTTACATCACTTTCCCAATCAAATTTGAAATCATCACACAAGGTAACTTGGATTAAAGTAACTTCAAGTGGATCCATATATTAGAACATGTTGAATGGCGATCTATCTTTCAAATTGTTTTGTTTTAAATTTGAGTCCACTGCAAGACCCCTACCTTTGATGTCCTTGGATGATTGTCTTGCGACCAACGTAGAATTGAGGATGGGTTAGAAATACTACAACAACAACAAAAAAACAAACTACAAAGAACCCACCACAACAAACAACAGCCACATCCACGAAAGCCACCAAAGATTAAAAGCAATCACAAATAGCTAAATAGAATAAAATAAAAGGTCAGAACGTTTCTTCTCTTACAAGAAATCTGAGTCAAGCTTCAGAGGGATGAGGGAAAGCGATGAAATTATACCTAAAGAGTGTGGAGATCGACTACCGCACCTCCTATTTCCTCTCCCCCTGTTAGATGAGATTCGAAGGGAGACGAAAAGAAGAACAGATTATGGTGCCCACTAGAGTCGTGATAGGGAAAGTGTCAAAAATCGCACCAACCTCTCTCCTTATGTTTAGGCCAAGTTTGACATATTGCAAAAAAGTCAAAAAGTCACTCAAAAAGTTAAAAAGTTAACACTATTCGCCAAAAGTCAACAATTACAGCTGCACAACTCTCAATCCTAATTTTTCCCTATAAATCAATTTTTACAATTTTTTATTACATATTTTTCCATAAAAAGTCAAAAAGTTAACCCAAACATCCATATTTTCTTCCTCAATTTTTTAGTCCAAAAAGACAAAAAATACACTTATTTAGTACACTTCAAACAACTCCTTAGTGCCCAATTCTTTACTTAAAAATAAAATTAAATAAATAAATAAATCTTTATAACTTGACAAACACACACTATATAACAAATATTTTATTTTAATTGTCTGAATTGCTTGTCTCTGCCAACTACTAGTAATACATGGCATACAGATATTTTAGGAATCAAAAGTGATACCAACCTTTTTATTTGGTGAGGTGTAATTTTTTTATATATATAAAAATACTCATGATTATGATAATTATATACCGACCACATTAGCTATGGAAATTATCATAATACATTAAAGGGTTGTTTGGAATACTCTAAATAAGTACACTTTTTATAAACGGAAATGAGCCGTAGCTGGACAGGGGAGGCTCGAATTGGCTCGAAAGAGGGAGAGGAGAAAGAGAAGGGAGAGGAAGAACGGAGGGAGGAGATCGTCGCGCAGCACCACCGCCGTTGCCTCGCCGCCGATCGTCGCAGCTTCAGACCGTCGCCGCCGTCGTCGCAGCACCTTTGCTCCTTACCGATCGTCGCAGGTGGAAGCTCCGCCACCGCCTCGCCCCACCTCCTCCTCCAACAGATTTTTATGGCCCCCTCCCCTCCCTCCTCCTCCTCCTCCTCCCTTCTCTTCTCCCTTCTTCTCCTTCTCTTCTTCTCCCTTCTTCTTCATCTCCTTCTTCGTTCTGCAACAAAGAGACAGAAAAAAGAAAAACGACGTCGTTTTGGTGTCGAGCCGGGTTTCAAGCCACGGGTTTCGAGCTACGTAGCACTACCGTTTTATAAAATATGGGTTGAATTTGAAGTGATGTGGTAGAGATGTGATGTGATTTAAATAAAATGATGTAACTTAAATAGGATAGTGACTTTTTGATTTTTTAACTTTTTTAAGGCACCCCAAACAAGGTCTAAATATTTTGAAGATTAAACAGACACAATTAAAATGTCGGAAATCAAAACAAAATACATATTTTATAAATCAAAAGTGTAATTAACCATTTCTTATGTACCCGATGAATTTCATCTAATTTTTTTTACCTACTAAATGATTTATAAAAAAAAAGTTAATATATCTATAAGACTTACCATATATAAAAATAATGATAAGGCCACCCAAACGAATTGTTTGGGAGTGACTAGTGATATGCCCATACGCGACGCATGACATGAGTGGGAAAGTTGAAGAAAATGGCACACTACATGCTTCAAGTGATGTAGAGAGTTTTATACGATTGCCGACGTGGTTTGGCCAATAGAGTAAAAACAAGCATTGCATGATTGCATCTACATCGTATTAAGAATTTTAATTTGAAGATGATTTTATTTTCACAGTGCTCGAATTTTGGGGGACTTCTGCCAGAACTTGGCTGATTTTATTTTATTAATTAATTATTATTTTATTTATTTCTAAAAATTTTAAAATGACATCCCGGGTGGCTCAATAAACTAGTGAAATTCTTAGGTGTTATCCACATAAAAAAAAAAGAAAAAGAAAAAGAAAAAGAAAAAGGGCAGCACCTATCTGGAAACTGATAAAAAAAATTGGTGTGTCCATTTCATGGTATATTTTGGGTTTTTATATCTGAAATTCTTAAACTGTTTATTATTGTTTTTATTTTTTTAAAAATTGTTTCCAAACATGTGAACAGGTCAATCAAAAATAACAAAAAGCAAACAAAAAACAAAAAAAAATTGTAAACAAGTCTTGCCTGAAATTGGGTATCAGTAGTTATTGGACAACTATGCTGAACAGATTCAAAATTGGGGATGGCTCTGCAATATTCATGCTCTACTCTCAAGGTCTTTTAAAAAGTAATTTCTGTGTCTGCATCAAGAATACAAGCACAGGATCATCAATCATTACCCATACTTATCAACAACCAAAACAAAAAAAAAAAAAATCATTATGCATAAAAGTACCTTAAAAGATGAACTGTGATAATAGTGTTGGCGGCTAAATCTTCTCAGATGCGTTTGTATAGATGATCATATTGATCTTGCAAAATGTGAGAAGTTGGAGAATCCATATGATACATTTGTTTGTCTAGTTTATAATTCATCTTCTAATTCAGAGAGAGAGAGAGAGGCTATTTCCTGAGAGTTTGTTCTGCAGTGTGCGCTCATGGGTGACCAGCAACCAACAACCGTCCCTCTTGTCAGCTTGAGGACATTGCATATAAGCAGATAGCAAAAGTTTGGACCATGGAATAGTGGTTGAAAGGAGTTGTTGAACAATTAAATTAACCATTTTACCTAAATTGGTTGACAGTCCCTGGGCTGTTGGTGGTGGCACACAAACACTTCCAGACCCGTATTTGCATTTTCACTGGTGGGCGTAGTTCCTAGACAATGAATTCAAGCCTTTATGAATCAGCACAAACAGGGAGAGAGGGAGTAAACCAGAAAACAACAAAATCATCTTTGCAATTATGGTTATTTGCTGTATTTTTAAATTAACTTATTAATCACCCCCTGTTCAACTTCTTCAGTGGCTACATTAGAGCCCATCAGGTGCACTTTACAATCTTGAGTGGTCATTGTGAAGTATGCAATTAGAATCATCACTAGGTTTTCTTAAGAGCAGAGAATGTAGAAATGAAACAACAGCATTCTACCTTGAAAACTAATATGAGTTCTTCTTCCTCAGTAACAAGTGAATGGGGTCACACATTCATTCAGGACAGGTTTCAAAATCTTGTCAATGGGAATGAAGCAGTGGACTGTTCTCCCACTATGCATGCCAAAAATAAATAAAAAAAAATTATTTAATGGGATTAGTATAAACATTCAAACACAATTAACCATTAACTCTTACAAAAGGCACTAATGACTGGAAATAGGTGAAACAATAACTTTTTAAGCTGGGCATATACCTATTTCCAAATTTTTTCATAGACATTGCCATTCAAATAACCAGCGATGATGTCCAAAATAAACATGCTGTACTGATAAACTAAGATGAACTAACTTTTCCTTTTTAGTAGGACACCTAACATGTATTTGCTAATAGTAGTAGTAAGATTCATTCTCAATAAATGGAAAATTCTCCTACATAAAAGAATTAAGGAATACCATCTGTATTGAGTTTCAAGTTGGACTCCAAAAGCTGGCATAATTAAGACGACGAACACAAAACAAACTGAAAGGTGAAAAAATGCTTTTTTCCCAAAATAAAACAAAATATAACATATTTTTTTTCTACCTTTTCTTATGGGGAAGAAAAGAAAATGCAAAATATAAGGGACACATAATAAGCAATAACATCAATCTTGCCTCATAAAATTCTAACAAGCATTTTGCTTTTTTGGAAGAAAAAGAGGGTGGTTCAAGATCAGAGAATGGTATGCTCAAAGCTACCATTTAAGAATCCACATTTCAAAGGCATACAAGCAATTGAGGAAAATTTGCATGTGAAACAGTTTGAAAATGCTCTAACATTCGAAGGGATTGTGTCAAGATGTCATGTTATAACATGTAGAACATGTAAGTCATGAGTCTGTGAAATAACTCAGTTGACTGAGATCTGAATCACATATCTAAGTAGTCCAGTAATCTAGGGAAATTTTAAAAAAATAAAAATAAAATGAACAGAAATGATGATAAACAAGGAGAATGCATGACAAATAAATTTATGAAAAATGGTACAAATACAAGGGAATAGCTCCTCAGCTTTTGTAATGCCCACAAAAAAAGATGAAATGATGTGTACGCATCCAAATTAAAAGTTTTAGCCATTACAAATTAACATCAACCAAACAAATTTAATCTGCAAGACTTTAGGGCACGGAAAGCTCTGCATCCTAGATTCTCACCTTTCTCAACAGGGGGTTCCAAAGAAACAATATGGCAATAAATGCACTTAAAAGTAAGCTCCAAAGAAGTATGTCAATTGAATCATCCTGTTGTTTGTCAAGTCATCATGTCAGCCAATACATAAACAATAACATGACTCAGGTCTCATAATTCTTCAAATTCGACAATATTACAATAACACCTTATAAATGCACATATAAATCACATACATAAATTCTTCTACATCACCATGGAGCTTTATGACAAATTGAATAGCAATCTTTTTTTTCCACGATTTATATAATGTTTTTTGATTCCCAAAAATTTAAACATCCTTTCTTCATTTTCTATTTTAATTCCCAAAGTATGTTACATCAAAAAGGTATTAACTGCCCTTGAAGCCCCTGAACTTTGCATATTTTTTGATCGCTAAACTAAATTTTCATTCAAATAAGTTCTCCAAAATTTCAAATTGGTCCACTTCAACGCTTCTATTACATTAAGTTCACTTTTGACAATTTAATAAAAGGTAAAGAATCAATTAATAAAATTAATCATAAAATTTTCTAAAATTAAAAACAATAAGAACTTGTGTTGGTGAAGGAAAGGGTGTTGGTTTTATGATTTTTTTAATTATTTTTTTTTTTTGTGATATTAGAAAAATAAGATTATGATTAATTTCATCAATTTATTCTTCCGAACAAAAGCACTATTAACAGGGATGGACCTAGGATTTGATCATCGGGGGAGCCAGAAAATAAATAAATAAATAAAGATGGGAAGACAAGTAGGGTTGGATTTAAGGCAATGGATTTTCATACAATTAACACTCGTGATTTTTCATGCTATTAATTGAAAATGGATAAACTTTGTTAAATAGTTGGTATAACAGTATATCACTAATCAATAAGAGTTCTTACATTACGGTAATGAAAAATAATGATTGGTTTAGTGAGAGATAAAAATTGTCTATCTAATTTTATTAATAATTTTTTATTGGTTGAGACACTACCATTCTCACTTAAGCTTTCTATGTAACAACTCAGATTTTTAATTATTCTGTAGAATTTATACTAATATTATTTAATCTCAGTTCGGAAAATATATAATTTATTATATATTATTATGTGTAATTTTTGTAAAATGATATAATTATTAAAAATTTAGGAGTCAAAATATAAATAATAATATAGATAATATAAATAATAAAAAGAATAATGGATGTAGTAGTAAAATAAATAATTAATATCTGTTAGTATACGATAAAATGTAATTTAATTAAGAATTATTTTATTTATATAATTATATTAAAAAGTTGAATCAAAAAGTAATTATCTTAAATATCTATTAAAGATAAAATTAAATTTATATAATTATGAATTATATCAGAGGAAAGGGACGCGTAAGCCACGCGTTGGCTGATCAATGGCCTGACCTCCCTATAAATAAGGAGTAGGCGTTTCACTGGGATAGAAGAAAAGGAAAAGAAAGAGGAAAGAAGAAAGAAAAAGAAAGAAGAAAGAAAAGAAAGGAAAGAGAGGAAAAGAAGGGAGAAACGGTAGAAGGTAAAAGGGTCTTTGATAGTGAAAAGGAAGAGTGAGGTATTAAAATTAAGGTGAGTTATATTATATTTTGAGTTATCAAAATATATTTTACGTATGTTTTGACTTATCAAAATCTATTTTACACAAGTTATGTTTTTAATAAAAGTTATGTTTTATAAAGGTTTCAGTTACGTGGTTTATCTTCTGAATTCTATTTGCTTAAAATGAAACCCATGGATATGTCTCTTCATATTTTAAAGAATATTTGATTATGACCTTATAAACAATTATGTTTTGTAAGTATCACCACGGGAGTTCCACGCCTTGGGGGACTTAAATAACCATTGGTCTCTGTTTGACTACTTTGTGGTCCTCTGTTTGTCATGGATCCACTGACCTCTTTTTTGTGCGGACTAAAGTGCTGTGTGGAACTAAGTGCTACACTATTGTGGGAGCCACCTCTAGAACCCGTACGAGCCACCTCTTGAATCCGTACCTCTGTTCTGTGCGGACCAAAGTGTTGTGCGGAACTAAGTGCTACACTATTGTGGGAGCCACCTCTAGAATCCGTACGAGCCACCTCTTTAATTCGTACCTCTGTTCTGACTGTCACTTCTGTGACCTCTGTTCCGTTCTGTTATGTACTGTGGTTATGGTGATATATTTACATAATATCTGTATTTTAGTTTCTGCTATTTAAATGATTTCTACTACTCAAAGGATTTATTTATATAAATGTTTTGGCCTAATTAACTATCCATGGTTATTTCGTGTCCCTTATACTCTTGGTATAATATTTCTCACTCTACCATGTGCTTATAGTTATTTACCAATTTTCAGGAACACATGCAATTCTGAAATAGCTTCTGGAAAGTCTTAGATGCGAGGCTGCGGAATAGACATACATAGCACTTTTTTATATATCGGCCTTTTTGGTCAATACTTTTTGTAATAAAAATAGAAGCTCCAATGATTATTTTGGTACATTTACTGAAATATTTCTTCCGCTTGCGTTATTTGATTTGTTTATGAATTGGCCGTAGGTAACCTCAGTTACTGGCCATCACGATACTTAACCCTTGGGTACGGGGAGCGGGTCGTGACAAATGGTATCAGAGCAATGGTTTATAAAATAAAATAAAAAAATCATCGTTGGAGCATAGGACACACGCACATTTACGAAGTGGGATAACGAGAAATTAATACCGAATTATTACATTTTGTTCGTCGATTTAATTATATTATAATTTTATATGATTACATATATAATAATTTTTTTTTTAGTGTGCCTAATTTGTGAAGGATAATAGATATAATTTATATTTATTACAGTAAAAGACGGACAAGAAAAGAAGGATGTCGGGCTCAAGCACCCCCCAAAATTATAATATAATTAAATACATATAATTTTCAGTTCAGTATTCAAAAAAAAATTATTTTGATGTTTTTAAAAGTGGGTTTAAATTATAAAGATACTAATTTTGAAATTATTTTCCATCAATGATAAGTTCATCTCCTGTATATGATTTTGTCATTGTATTCTCATTTTATTTTATTTTTTATTTATTTTTATCGTAAACAAAACGAGTGAAAAGTTTTTAAAAGTCGCTCCTTATTTCTTATTTTGGCCCAAACCAATTTTTGACAACTAGACTGTGAGTTATTTTTGGTAAAATTTTTTTTGAGATACTATTTTCTATCAGATTAATCATTTAATATATATTTATCAGAGTGCGCAGCGGATAACTTACACCTATGGTAAATTTCGAGGACGAAATTTTACAAGGGGGAAGATTGTAACAACCCAGATTTTTAATTATTCTATAGAATTTATACTAATATTATTTAATCTCAATTCGAAAAATATATAATTTATTATATATTATTATATGTAATTTTTGTAAAATAATATAATTATTAAAAGTTTAGGAGTCAAAATATAAATAATAATAATATAGATAATATAAATAATAAAAAGAATAATGGATGTAGTAGTAAAATAAATAGTAATTAATATCTGTTAGTATACGATAAAGTGTAATTTAATTAGGAATTATTTTATTTATATAATTATATTAAAAAGTTAGGTCAAAAAGTAATTATTTTAAATATTTATTAAGGGTAAGATTAAAGCTAAGTTTGGGAAGACTAAATAAGTGTACTTTTTAATTTTTTTTGTATTATGTGTAGAAAAAGTAGAGAAAAGATGTTGATTGATGTGACTCAAAAAAAATAAAAAAATGAAATAAGTGCATTTTTTTTTGTTAGTTAAACTTGGCCTAAATCTATATAGGAAAATGAGTTGGACCCCAGTGGGGGTGCTGGGGTCATCTCTGATTGGCTAAAAAACTGTTTTTTTTTTTTTTTCTTTGGTTTTTAGTTTTGGGCTAGTGACAGTGTGCCAACTGTCACTGGGTGCTGAGGGTCGCTCCCACTGGGGGTCCCCAGCATTGCTCATCTATATAATTATGAGTTATATCTGAGGGAAAGGGACGCGTGGCTTACGCGTTGGCTGATCAATGGCCTGACCTCCCTCTAAATAGCGAGTAGGCGTTTCACTGGGATAGAAGAAAAGGAAAAGAAAGAGGAAAGAAGAAAGAAAAAGAAAGAAGAAAGAAAAGAAAGGAAAGAGAGGAAAAGAAGGGAGAAACAATGGAAGGTAAAAGGGTCTTTGATAGTGAAAAGAAAGAGTGAGGTATTAAAGTTAAGGTGAGTTATATTATATCTTGAGTTATCAAAATATATTTTACGTATGTTTTGACTTACCAAAATCTGTTTTACACAAGTTATGTTTTTAATAAAAGTTATGTTTTATAAAGGTTTCAGTTACGTGGTTTATCTTCTGAATTCTATTTGCTTAAAATGAAACCCATGGATATGTCTCTTTATATTTTAAAGAATATTTGATTATGACCTTATAAACAATTATGTTTTGTAAGTATCATCACGAGAGTTTCACGCCTTGGGAGACTTAAATAACTATTGGCCTCTGTTTGACCACTTTGTGGTCCTCTGTTTGTCATGGATCCACTGACCTCTGTTTTGTGCGGACGAAAGTGCTGTGCGGAACTAAGTGGTACACTATTGTGGGAGCCACCTCTAGAATCCGTACGAGCCACCTCTTGAATCCGTACTTCTGTTCTGTGCGGACCAAAGTGCTGTGCGGAACTAAGTGCTACACTATTGTAGGAGTCACCTCTAGAATCCGTACGAGCCACCTCTTGAATCCGTACCTCTGTTCTGACTGTCACTTCTGTGACCTCTGTTCCGTTCTGTTATGTACCGTGGTTATAGTGATATATTTACATAATATCTGTATTTTAGTTTCTGCTATTCAAATGATTTCTGCTACTCAAAGGATTTATTTATATAAATGTTTTGGCCTAATTAACTATCCATGATTATTTCCTGTCCCTTATATTCTTGGTATAATATTTCTCACTCTGCTATGTGCTTATAGTTGTTTACCAATTTTCAGGAAACATGTACTTCTGAAATAGCTTCTGGAAAGCCTTAGATGCGAGACTGCAAAATAGACATACATAGCACTTTTTTATATATCGGCCTTTTTGGTCAATACTTTTTGTAATAAAAATAGAAGCTCCAATGATTATTTTGGTACCCTTACTAAAATATTTTTTCCGCTTGCGTTATTTGATTTGTTTATGAATTGGCTGTAGGTAACCTCAGTTACTGGCCATCACGATGCTTAACCCTTGGGTACGGGGAGCGGGTCGTGACATTCCATGTTTTATAAAGTGAATAATATAATTACAAATATATTTTAGAACATAATATGTTAAGGAGTTGTTATGGCGTGCACTCTTAAAGTGCATTCCGTATACACGTTATCACAAAATATATAACATAACCATAACAAATTGTAATTTTTTTCACCAAATGGTTCGTAACATTTTGCACCACAATGTTTCGTAACATTTACACTATACCATTCATAATATAACTATAATAATTCATAACTTTCATTTTAGAGATACCCACTATAAATTTAACTTTACCACAAAATTAAATAATAGTGCAAATATTTTAACTTTCATTGTAAAAATTTATATAGCATTCCTCTATTTTATTACAAAGAGATGTTAAAAAAATATTTAAAACATGAGAATTAAATGGGAGGAAGGCCCACGTAGAAGAAGAAGTTGCCGGTGTTGAACAATTGGCCCCTGTAGGCCTACACTAAGTTCCGTCCCTGACTATAAATTTTCCAGTTAGAGAACGTAGCACAAAAATGCCTACTTTTTCACTAAACCCTAGCAGAGGTGAAAAGTTTAAGTTTGCAACTTTAGATTTGAAGGGTGACAATGACGATGGTAATGCATGATTGATTGTGTGCCTAAATGGACAAAGGATATGAAGAATAAAGACTTAGCAGACACAAATTTATAAGATACCTTTAGCAAGAAGAAGAAGAAGAAGAAGGAGAAGAAGAAGAAGAAGACGACAGTTGTTGAGAGAAGAAGAGCAGATGAGAGGTACACAAGTCCAGTCCTTGCACTGCTCCTTCGAATGTATATCTCCAATTGGCTGACTTTGTTTTTTTTTTTTTCAGAAATCGAAGCATACAACTTGCGAATCGACGATGCATTCACATCAGCCATCACATCTCCGCAGAGGTCAATGTTCAATGTCTGTGTGAGCGGCGATCTCGATAATATAAATTGTTATTTTTGTGACGCACAATAATAAAGACTATTAAAAGTAGGGAAAATGTCTCGTAGCTCAAATTTTGTGGTTCAAAAGTGGCTCAAATGGCCAAAACGACATCGTTTTGGCCATTTTTATGTTGTTCTGTACTCAAAACGACGTCGTTTTGGCCATTTGAGCCACTTTTGAGGTGAAAAGTTTAAGTTTGCAACTTTAGATTTGAAGGGTGACAATGACGATGGTAATGCATGATTGATTGTGTGCCTAAATTGACAAAGGATATGAAGAATAAAGACTTAGCAGACACAAATTTATAAGATGCCTTTAGCAAGAAAGAGAGAAGAAGAAGAAGAAGAAGAAGAAGACACAGTTGTTGGGAGAAGAAGAGCAGATGAGGTACACAAGTCCAGTCCTTGCACTGCTCCTTCGAACCACAACGCGGTGTGTATCAATGGCTTCAAGAGGATCCCTATGATCGTCGTGTATATATGTATATCTCCAATTGGCTGACTTTTTTTTTTTTTTTCAGAAATCGAAGCATACAACTTGCAAATCGACGATGCATTCACATCAGCCATCACATCTGCGCAGAGGTCGAATGTTCAATGTATGTGTGGGCGGCGATCTCGATAATATAAATTGTTTATTTTTGTGGCGGGTAATGATAGAGATGATTAAAAGTGGTGCTTTAAATCAACTCCTAATAATGTGATATTTATTTATTTATTTTTTTTTAAAAAAAAGGCCAGACACAACACTGTAGCAGTGGGTAATGAGTGGTGGTACTAATTATTACTCTCACTCATTTTTCTTTTTGTGACGGTATATTACACGTATTAATTGATATATCAATTAGTAGTGTATAAACATATATTATAATATTATCACTTTAAAATTATGATATCATTTATTATATAAAACAAATTATAAAAAATCAATATTTTCAAAATTATATTATATCAAACATATTATTCATACTATAAAAGTTAAATGAATAATTTAACTAATTTATATTTGTGAGAATTATTTTTAAAACCATACAATCTGTCTATGATGTCGAATTCAGTTTGGTCAATATTGATTGAACATTTCAATTTAGTTATTTAAGAAATCAAAACTGACAGTATAATACGTCTTTTTTATAAAAAAAAAAAAGAAAGAAAAAGATTGTGTGAATGATTAATTCACAAGACCTTTTAAAAGTTTTACAATTATAAAAATTATAAAATTTTACATTAACAATACATGAAGCGAGATAGTGAAAATGCTAATGCCTCCTCTAATCTTTTATTGCAAAACATGTAACATTGATTATTTTATTTTCTAATATTAAAAAATGTATAATATTTCGGTTAGTTAGCTTAATCCGTGTAACACTTTTTAAAATCGAAACAAATTATACCTTCTGAAAAAACAAACTAAAAATTGAAATTTTAATTATCGAGTGGTCAATTCAGTTGCAAAAGTTGTTCTTAGAGTGTTAAGGTGGGGTAAAGGCGGTCGTTGAGGTGGGGCGGTGCCAAAAATTTTGCTATTAACTGGACAATTGTCAAGCCAACCCCACACACACCAAACATGCCAAACTTTTAGGGTCAGCTTTGCAATACATCAAGTAACGACTTCTTTTTGGTTTTTTTTGGTAAATTGGAACTGTCAAGTAAAGACTTCAAGTATGCTCCAACTTCACCTCATGGAAACCCATTCTATGCATAAGCTCTTTGCCTTGACCATTCATCTAATATATGAAAACAGATGATAATTGGCTACATTTTAGACAATAACTGGGTACATTTAGTTCTGAGGAAAATATTGAAACCACTCCAAGTAATACAATAGCAGTATCATTAGCTCAAGACTCCCAAAAGCATTACTAGAGTTCAATATTCAACCAAATACAACCTCATCAAGAGAAATTTATCATACAAACACCTGAAAAGTATCAACACTACGAAACAAATTCATCAGTATCACAAAACTATAAGTAGCTTTAATTCGTTAGGCACGGTCCATGTTTTGACAGCAAATAGTGATTTTCGCTTTAACTGCTACCTAGACCAGTATCCTCCACACATTACTCAACTCCTACTCAATACTTTGCTAAGCAAAAATCACAACACTTCAAAATACTATCAACTTGTCAATTTGTCATGTGGTAGTCGTCTGCTTGCAAATATGGATTGTAGCTCCCGGACACTTCCATCTTCCCAATCAAGTGGTCAATTCCTGCATTCATCAATGAACACGCAATTAGAGTATTTTCATTGAAAATTGCCGATAGTATCCTTTTTATGGCTATTATCAATGTAACAATAGATATTAAAGGCCAAAGTTAAAATTAAAGCACAGACATGTACGTAAAAGATGAGCAATTGTCTTAAATTTCTCCTCGGAACCTATACGAAGGCTCTCTAAATATCTCCGCATGAAAGTACTAGAGAACTCTAGTCGAGTAACTCTTGCATTAATGATCACATCAGATTTGTGTTCCTAAAGTCTACAAACTTTCCCACATTCGCAAATACAAACTAGGAAAGTACACAATATACTATGCATAACAATTGCATTCAACGTGAACCTTTGGCATTGTTAATATGCGAATGACGTCAAATTCATTTAAGAGATGGGATATAAAGACAGAGAGATATATGACACAAATTTGAGTACAGTTGTGCAACAGACAACTAAAAAGTGCGACAGTCAGGACTAGATTGACTTATCGACAAATTCAATGTGATTAGAATGTGTTATAGTGCATGTATGTGTTTGTGATCACAAGTAAAATGATGAATTAAAATTGGAGAAGCAGTTGATATACTTCCAAAACAAAACTTACCAAATTTTATCCAAGAGAAAAACAATTTTGACAACAAAAGCATGTTTTCTAAATTGTTCCAACTACCATATGCATCCACTTGGATAAAATGACAGTCAATGAGGTCCATTGGAATCTGTATATCAATCTGTTAAAACACAAAAATAGGACGCATAATTGGCAAGTAAAAAGAAAACAAAGGTTAAAGGATATACATACTTGGATTTGATAACATACTATCATAGAAAGACATTTGTCCCAAACTCCTAGCAGGTTTTGAACTGCCATTCGATGCAAACATGGGCTCCACTTTTTGGGCCTGTGAATCTACAGAATGCATCCCAGAGCTTACTTCGGGGTTTTGAAAGCACAAATCCTCAGCCCTTGGAGCTGAGTTATGTTGAGACTGGAAATCCTCCGACATTGTCTTCTTTTCATTGGGCGATTCAACCTCTGTCTCCACTTCGGATTCAGCATTGTTAGGTGCTGTAACCTGCTGCTTCCTTTTTGATCTAGCCCGCCTGTTCTGAAACCAATTATAGACATTTGTCTCAGAAATTTGGCCGTGTTGAGACAATTCAGTGGTTATCTCCTTGATCTTCTGCTTGCTTGGTGTCCCATTGCCTTGCTCAAACATACGCTCAAGAATTTGAAGCTGTACAGGTGTTGGAGTCCACCGTTGTCTGCCAGTAATTTTGTGGCCAACAGATGTCACTAAGGGGTCACAGTATAGATTTCCCAACCTGGCACCTGGGAAAGCAAGAGCAAGGTTTTTATCATAAGCAAAAAGAACATCTTAATAACTCACCAACAAGTAATATGTCTCCCTCATTTCAACAGATATGAAAGTAAATGAAGCAAAAGAGTTGTTAGTACTGAAGTGCCAAAATGGCCCAGTCATTTTGCTGCAACATGCCATAAAAGGGGTGTGTTCTTGGTGAGAGAGAAGATTAGGAGGAAGGAAATGCGAAAGCAAAGGGGAAGGATCTTTAGAATTTTTTACGTTTGGTGGAAAGGAAAGAAGGAAAAGGAGGGGAAGAATCAATTTCCTTTTGACTAAATTTAGGGCAAGCCTCTTTTTTTTCATTTTCTTTTTTCGATTTTTGACTTTAAAACAACATCCATCATTTTGATATGCAAGGCATGAGTAAAATTAACCCTTTTAGTCATCTTTCCCTTCCTTCCTACTCAATCAAACAAAAGGAGGGAAGGCAAGTTCCTTTCTCTAATCATACCTCTTGCTTTCTCTCCTTTTCAGTTATTTTCAATCCCTTGCAACAATCAAAATAGAAATAACACTAAGTTGAACCAATTAACTTCTCTATCCAAAACATAAAGAATAAATTCAAGGTGAAACCAACCCAAATGAGGTTTTTTTTTATAAAAAAAACTAACCCCTAAAATTTATGAGATTTTAGAGATTTTAGAAAGAAAATCCAAATAATTGGCATGAGAAAACTAGCACAAATATTTGTTGACAAATTAGCTTGTAATTATTCAAAACAAAATGATCAACAAAGTATGTAAGAAATAACATGACACAAATTACAAACACCAAAAGTCAACCCTAGTAAAATGTTTGAAACCCAACCCAACCCACATGCTAAGTTAAGCATTTGAACTTGAAATATTACAAAAAAGAAGAAGCTTACAATAAGGAAAACTGTATAGCACTCGACTGAGAGGAAAACAAAGAATTCTTGAAACCCAAGTAAGGGTAGAAAATGGCCCCTATCACATAAAATCGGAATAATTTACTACGTAATCACCTATGAATTATGTACTAAAAATAAATAAATAAATAACTAGAAGAATTACTGAAAAACAATATCATGAATGATGACACAACTAATTCTTTTAAAAAAATCACAATAACCAGTAGAGCAATTAGTGGATCTGCCCTGTTGATCAAGATGATTTCTTTAGCACACCATCATTGTTGGAAATAGTCAAGCCACGTGAATTATCGAATATTTGGTTGAATTGATTGGAAATGTGTACGGTCAATTAATCCCAAGGGGTTGGTCTAATGGGTGCAACTTGAGATCTTGGATTGTGCTACCTCTAAGTCTTAGGTTCAATTCTCATTAAGAGTAATCCGCTCTTGGGACCACAGCTGCGAGCTCTGCCTAAGATTTGCCCAATCCACATGGAATGAGCGCTTTGTGTAGGTTCTCGATTAGTCAAGGTGCGGGTAAGCTAACCAGACAGCCGGTCATTAAAAAAAATGTCTATGATCAATCAACAATTGATGTTATTTGTGCAATAAAAGTGACAAAAACACAGAAATATTAGGAACTGACAAAAAAAAAAAAAGGGAAAAAGAAGAGGTAATTGACTGGACTGAAGCAAAATTGGGTAAGGTTTCAATTCACAAGAAATGTTAAAAGAATCAATGAGAGACCACTTCATATTGCAGAAAAAAGGTAAATTTTTTCAAAAGATTTCTTTAATTGTTTTATAGATAACTTTTCGAATTCAACTTCTTGTATGGAAAAAGAAGAAGGCAGCAAATAAAATAAAAAAAAATAAAAGAAAAGAAAAAACTGATATTAATTTATGCTTTATTTAAAAATAATAATAGGTTTCTAATCACAAATGGTAAAGCAGTAAGGGAGAATTTTGGGAAAACTCTTACTTAGTACAAATAAGAATTGTGCACTCACTTGCGCTTCAATAGATTTATAAGTAAAATCAAGAGAAGTTTCGTGAAAAAGTTTATAATTTTAATTAGTTAACCATTTATTTGTAGTAATTATTTCTTAAAAGTTACACTGAACTCAAATTTCCCCTAAAAACAATGCCAGTGAGTGCAAATGAGACTTGTATTGGATACAAACTTACAATTGTTATATTGATTTGCAATTCTCCTTCTATTGTTTGTCTAAATTTTCCCAATCAAAAAAGAAAAAAAGAAAAAAAAAAGAGAGAGGAACCTGAAAGGAGATCGGGATGAGAAGTGAGGGATTTGTGCATTTCGACGAGGTTCTCGCAAATGGTGGCGTAAGCAGCGATTTGCTTGCGAAGGATCTCCATTTGCTCGTCTGTCATCACCTTCACAAACATTCCCCCATTGCTGCTATTGTTGCTGTTGTTGCCGCCGCCGCCATTATTCATCACTTCTTCTTGCTGCTGCTGCTGATGCTGATGCTGATGTTGTTGTTGATGTTGGTTTTGTTGCTTTTCCCAATTCATCATCATCATCCTTTTGCTTTCTTTCAGACCTCTCTCCGCTCTGCTCTGCTCTGCTATGCTCTCTCTCTCTCTCTCTCTCTCTAAGTCGTTCGTGACAAGTAAACAGAGTCAGTACTCTGTCAGGTTAAAAAAGTAACGAGAAAGTAAAGAAATGTGAACGAACAAGACAAACAAAGACGCGGCCAAAAAGCTTTTTCCTCATTTACGTGTCCCCGGTTTCGTTTAGTGCACTATCCTCATCCGTTCATGTTAGCACTACCATGCGCCTCTTTTTTCTTCTTTGGCCTCTTTTTACATTTGGCTAAAATAGTAAAAAAATTTATTATAAATTATCTTATCACATTGTCTTTATTTTTTACATATTTTTATATATAAAATAAAAATAATTAATTAAAATAACTAATTCGGAAATGAGTTGCTATAGGTGTGTTTATTAATCTAATTCAACATAAAAATAAATTAAGTATATTTAATTATCATATTTTGGACTTGTTTAGAAAGTTAGTTATTTTAATTAGTTATTTAGTTTTTTTTTTTTTGACGCTGAAATAGTTATGTTTGAAATGTTATTTGACTTTTTTTTAGTTAATTTGATGGTTGTAAAAAAAATTAAAGTAATTATAAATTGAATGTGACATTTTATTTTATTAACTATTTTAATCTATTTTATTTTTAATAAATTATTTTAATCTTATTCTTTTTCCAAATACCATTTTATATCACTAAATATTTTAAGAATAATGTTGAATGTTAAATTTGAAATATTTTATAATTATGTCATTGTTGAGATATATTTTTATCACCCTCAATGTCATCACGATTATAACGAAGAAGTAAATGGTAAAATGAATGGGCGGACACGGTAGCGTACGGTGCGGCGAACGGCGCGCGCGAGCACGGACCTGCACCTGCCTAGCTCTGAGACTGAATTTGCCTCACTGTTGGGAATGAATGTTCATTTGTTCATTTTAGTCAGACCCACCCACTTTCTCAATTCTAACCAATATAATAAAATAGTAAGGGTAAATTACTGTAACTTTTATTGAGATTTATAAAATACAGTAAGGTTTATAAATTTAATATAATTATATTTTAGAAAAATTTACCCATAAGTCCTAGTTTTTGAAACGTTGAACCATTTAGTCTTAAAAGTTTTTTTATGCTCTATTTAGTCCCATTTTTACATCAACATGATGTGAATGATGTAAATGATCTGATGTTTCATTCTATAATTTCAAAATTTATTGAAATCTGATGAACATTAGATGTTTTTCATCCTATATTTTCAAACATTATTGAAATTTGATGAACATTAGATGTTTGAAATCCAATGTTTGTAACATGACTCTGATGTTATTAACATTGTATCTGATGTTATTAACATTGTAATGGGACCTTTCAGTCTATAAGAAAACTTTTATGACTAAACAGTGCATAAGTTATTAATTTGGGATTTATTGGTGCATCTCCCTATATTTTATGTATATTTTTAAAAGAATAATTTTATATAATTCTTGACTATTTTTTATTCTAAATTAATGAAAAAATTAGTAAAATATCTATCTCTAACTTTATGTGGTATGAGAGATTCAAGATATTTTTTTTATTAGGCAGGGTCACTTAACATTTTCACAAAAAAAATTTGATTCAAAAAAATTTTGTCCGACTCAAAAAAATTTCAATTTGTAAAAATTGAAATTTCTCTGAATCGGGATCGAAATTTCTTTGAATCAAATTTTTTTTGTGAAAATGTTGAGGAACCTTAATTTTTATGAAAATATTGTATGTCATTTATCTTATAAAATCTTAATATCAATGACTTTTAAAAAAAAACTCTAAATTTATTAATCATATCAATAAAAAAATATTTATGTGTGCTAAAATTTGACCACAAACAATACTTTAATGCTACTGCTAAAATTCTAAGAACAAATTTGTAGAGCATGTAACCTAGATCTACGCCTGAAAAAGAGAGTATAATAACTAACTCATCACAAACCTTAGATCTAGGGACGAAACCAGAATTTTATCACTAGAGGGGCCAAAAGACAAATGAAATTTTTTATCATATACATAAGCACACATATATGTGCAATATGATATATAAATTATATCTAAACAAACCAAACCAAATCAAGTCTTAAGTCCCATCATATAGGATCGTCTACATGAATCTTTCTTCTCCACTCGACTCTATCAATGGCCATTTGGTTAGTCATATTAAAGAGATTCATATTTCTATTTATTACACTAGTCCACGTCAATTTAGATCTATCCCTTCTCTTTACACTTCTATCTGCTGTCACTGTATCGCATTTCTTTGTTGGTCTCTGTTGTATATGGCCAAACATTCCAATCTATTTTCTCTTAAATTATCTTTTATTGGTACTACTTCTACCCATTCACAAATATACTCATTCCTAACTCTGTATTTTATAGTCTTGTCACACATCCACCTTAGCATCATCATCTCAGTAACACTCATCTTATTTACATGTTATAGTTGCTCAACATTTCGTCTCATACAACATCGTTGGTCTAATAGTTGTTCTATAGAACTTTTCTTTTAATCTATTGAGTATTCATATATTGCACAGTACTCCAGATGCACTCTTTTACTTAAGCCACCCCGCCTTAATTCTATGGACCAAATTTGCTCTAATCTCCTTAGCTGTTGTGATAATCGATCATAAATAACGAAAATGTTCACTCTTAGGTAATTCTTGATTTTCAATCTTTATTTCTCCATTGTTTCCATTGTTACTGTTATTAAAATTAACTTCATGTACTCTATGTTAGTTTTGTTTATCCTAAATCTTTTAGATACAGAAAGTATATCTATACACATAAAATAAAATTAAATTAAATTAAATACTAAAGAAGCAATTTCTAATGGGATGGAAAAAAAAAGTTTAGTGCAAAATAAAAAAAAAAATGCAAGATAAGATAAGAATGATATATGTATTTTTTATATCGAGAGACCATTTTATGTATGAAATGAGATATATATATTTTTAAAATACCATAACAAATTATATTTTTCACAAAAATTGAGAAGTCAGGACCCTATATAATCTTCTCCTAATTTCACCCCTACTTAGATCCATGGGATGTTTGATGTCTTATCTCTCCCTAGCGATTGTATTCATGTCAATCACTTATTCAGTTCATAACAAATCATCTAGGGCTCAATCAACCCTGGTTGGATTAGACTCAACCTCTCAAAAGAGTCCTATGTTTCTCAACCTAGGAGTCAATATTCAATTAGAACTCATGTCTTCCGCTACTTATCTCGACCCTTAGGTCATGTTTGTTTGGGCGGACTGGATTAGCATTCCCATGACTAATAGTCCTAGGACTACGAATCCGTTGGATTATGTATCCTATCTTAACTAATAATCAAGTTTAAAATAATTAGTCCGTACTTCAATTGTTTAACCAAATATCGGATTAATAATTTTATTGGACTATTAATCCAATCCCAAGTTCATGTCCACCCAAACAAACATGACCTTAATGTAAGCTCAAGGATATGACATTCCGCCACGTGACACCACAACTAGAGGTCCTTGTTATGTAGACAAAACGGAAATAATCTCCACAATATTATCGTATCTTTTTTATATTAAAATATATATTTTATTTTATGTATTTTTATATTTTATATTATTTATATTAATTTTTATCTCTTTAACTTTATGAGAAAAAAAGACTAATGTAATTATATCAAAACTCTAAAACTTATTAGGTATTTTTCAAATTTCACAATTAGTGTAATTTATCTAAATAATAATCAAATAAAATTTATCTAAATAATAATCAAATGAAAATACAAAATTAAAAGAGTACTCCCAACAATTGGACCACGTGGCATCCATCAACTACTGATGAGTTGGTACGGGAACTCTGCACTGCACCACAAACAGCCCCCCACCCCCACCCCCACATTGGAGGACTCTCTGCCATCTGGTTAGTTCTCATTGGATGACTCAATCCCATTTTATAGAGAATTCACCGTTCTAAATCTCTCATTTTCTGGGGTTTGGAATATGAGTTGGTTATTTAATTTTTTGATTATTTTTAATTTGAGATTAAAAAATCTTATTTAAAATAGATTTTTTAATTTTTGTAAGAGAAAAAATAAAATTATTATGATTTAGATATAATGTTTTGCTTTATTAAATTAAAAAAATCAAGTTTATCTTTTTATAATTATTTACCTTTTTATAATTAAAATAGTAAAAAAATAAATAAATAAAAAAATCTGACATACCAAACAAACCTATCTCTAAATTTATTCCGTTGGAAAGAACTACTTTAATTATCGGAGAATTTTTTGATGGTATCATGTTTATCAAATTAAACTCAGGACTATATAGATTTGATCATCATCAGTTTTATTTCTTAAAATAAGTAAATTATATTTTATGTTTTAATTTATAATTTTATAATTATAATTTCAATCTAAAATCAAATCGTAAGGTCTAGATATATATTTATATATGTTATTTGCTACTTATCATATTAGTTGTTAACTCTAACATCTCACATTCTTGGACTCTCTCATCTCATTTAGCTGTAGATCAACAAAAAATAATAAATAATTGTTATTAAAAGTTTTTTGCAACTTTTATTATCTGAAAGTATTTATAAATTGTCATTTTAATTCTAACCAAATTGCGTTCCACTGGTTCTATTTGGTTTGGTTTAGTTTCAAAATTTTTGTAATTTGATTTGATTTCAAATTTTATAAAATCGTTTAGGTATATACATGGTGATGTGATTTCTTTCTTAATGGAAACATACTCGCCCCTTTATATGGTGTCCTACCTTGATAGTTATTGGTCTAAAAAACATTTGATATCACTTTTATATCTGTAATTTTACTTATGATAACTAGTGCGATGCGCCGGTGTATATGATTTAAAATGAATAACTTAAAAACATAATTGCAAAACATGTGATGTGTTAGGATTATAAGTTTAATATCATCCGGACTGATTGTTTTTTATTTTTTATTTTCGATGAGATATTGATAATCAAAAACATAAAAAATAATTCAATTAAACAAACAAATAAATAAAAAACAACTGCAGTGAAACGTCAATGA